TTCCCCAAAATTCTGCTCCAAGATGCAGGGCTTAATAAGCCAAAAACCTGATCCCCTCTTGTGGAAGTCAGGCCATCTGTCTCCCACCCCCCAGAATGAATCTGGGCCCTGTTTGAGTCCAGAGGAGGAGCCTTTTGTGGGAGGAGGGCCTGCTGGCCAATAGGCTGACATTTGGAATTCTTCATATCCATCCTTGCTTTCTACTCAGTGATATCCTATTACATTCATAAACCATAATTTACTCTGGCATTCCCCACTCTTCTGGTTATCGATAAGATCATCCCAGTAGTGGAAACTCTGGGTTAATAGGTATGAATAATTTGATTATTTTTGTTATATATTTCCAAAATGTTTTCCAGAATGGCCATTCTTCATTTTATGCACATCTGATAGAAATGATTTTTACTTATTTAATATTAATATCTAAGCATTTAGATTTAGAGAGAGAGATGTCCAAATTGGCAAAGTTCCACCCCACCTCGTGCCCTCAGATGTGTCTCCATCCCCAAGATAATTTTCAGCCATATTTATAAGCATCTTGAACAAAGAAGAGGTTAATCCTCTGAGTTATTACTTCACACCAGTTAGGTTAGAAAAAAATGCTAAAAGATGGGAAAACTCATTGTTGCAGGGTCTGCGGAAAAAGAGACCTCCATTCATGTGGATGAAGTGAGAATATTTTATTCTCGCTCCCCCACCCTAACTAGGATGTGAGAAAAGTGATTATTTTTCTATTATATTAATAAGTAATTATTAAATTAGGATTGTTTTTCCTTTTTATTTCATCATTCAGGGACCAGTCCCTGTAGATCATTCAGTCAGTCTCTGGAGGACAAAGCTGATAAATGAGATTGGCCTAATCCCTGGGGTACATGCTTTGAGATCTTGGGCAGGATCTCATCCTACTAGGGTACCTTACTTTTATTTATAGTGCAAACAGAATCTAATCTAGGTGAATTCTTGCCCTTAGGAAATAAGCCAATGTCGTTGTCCCTCTCCTCTGGAATCTAGGGGACCCAGCTCATGAAGGAGAAAACCATCCAGAGTGGTCTGGGTAGAGATGGATTCCTTGGTCCAGATTGATGGAGGCAGCTGAGTCTCATGATCAAGTCAAGGTCTCATCCAGAGGAGCTTACTTTTTGCCCGTTTCCTCATTAATATGTCTACCCTCTCATTAATTACTCACCGATTAGGGTTGATTTCCACCTGTCAGGGGCACCCCCTTTTCCCAAAGGTACTTAAGCATTCAGGAATCTCCACGGTTTTGTCTTTGGTTACCAAGAGAAACCACTGACCACCATTTTATTCATTATCAGCTGGCATAATTAATAAATTGATTATTAATTACCCAGAAACTCTGTCTCTCTGGCTTTTCCTTTGTCTCAGATGTAAGCTTCCAGAGGATTGGGATTGTTTGGTTTTTTGTCTTTGCAGCCCCATTGACCAGACCAATCCTTGTAGATGGATCTATTGTCAACTAAATGCAAGGCACCAGGAGAAAAACGAGATAAGATAGTCTTTGCCTTGAAGAAGCATATTCTACAGAGGTTGGGGGATATTGCTTATACACAGATAAGTAAATACAAGACAATTTGAGGGAGGACAGAACCCAACAGCCAGAGGGATAAGGAGAGATATCCTATAACCAGGCAGCAATTGGGCTAAACCTAAAAGGAAGTATCTGGGCTTGAAGGCCAGTTCTGCCAATTTCTACAATTTGACCTTCATGCCTCTAGGTCCCAGCTTTCTCACTCATAAAATGAAGATAAAAAAAGTTATCTCCTCAAGATAATTTTCAATCATAGGGATCTTGAACAAAGAAGAGGTTAATTCTCTGAGTTATCACTTCATACCAGTCAGGTTAGAAAAACATGCTAAAAGATGGGAAAACTCATTGTTGGAGGGTTTACAGAAAAAGAGACCTCCATTCATGTGGATGAAGTAAGAATTGGCTCAGCCATTCTGGAAAACATTTTGGAAATATATAACAAAAATGATCAAATTATTCATACCTGTTAACCCAGAGTTTCCACTACTGGGATGATCTTATCAATAACTAGAAGAGCAGGGAATGCCAGAGTAAATTATGGTTTATGAATGTAATAGGATATCACTAAGTAGAAAGCAATGATGGATATGAAGAATTCCGAATGTGAGCCTGTTGCCCAGGGGGCCCTCTGGACTCAAACAGGGCCCAGATTCATTCTAGGGGGGTGGGGGAAGAGGTGGCCTGACTTCCAAAAGAGGGACCAGGCTTCTCTTACTTCCTTTGGCTTATTAACCTCCCCTATCTTGGAAGAGAATTTTGGGGAAATTCTCTAAAACAAGATTTGGGTATGGTTCATGTTTAGGAGCTCCCTAAAAGGGATCTCCAAAGTATCTTTTTTGAAAATTGGATTTGGATGACACTTAAGGTCTCTACTGATGGGGATGAGATCTGAACCCCTAAAAGGAAAAGACCATGTCTTTGGGATCTGGACTCCAAAAAAGAAAATCCCTAGACTTTTCCCAAATTTTTGGCATTGACCTGAGGCTGTAATCCACTCAACTGGCCTTTCATTGTGGCTATGCCCAATTTCCCAATTCTGTTCTGTTACCTCCTGATTGCTCCTGGTCACTTCCCACCCTTAATCCTATCTAGACTCCATTCTCCCTTGGCCACATGGTCTAAGTCCCTGGCATTGTTCACCACTCCCATCCAGATCCTCATTAGACCCCTCAAGTCACCCCAGACTACTTGGCCACTCCAGGATCCCTCCCACAGTCTTTCTGTATATAAGATTCATCTTGTTTCCATTAAGGTGCTCAGATTCTTATAACTAGTCACAGGCTCAGATTCTTAAGATCTGGCCTACTGGCATTAGCAATAGAAATGCTTAGATTCCTTAAGAGTCTGGCCAATATGGCACATCTTTAATAAATCTTGTCTTTGGCTGAAAGAAGGCTTGGGTCAAATTAATTCAGGCAGGACCTGCATGTTGTGATTTTGGGGTCACAGCACCCCTAAACCTCAACATCTACCAGCTCTAAATCTATGAGAAGTCTGCAATAGGCCATTTTGACTGGAACACAAAATCCTTTAAGACAACTAAAAAGAAATCAATCCACACTATACTCTTGACTCCCTGGCCTTTCCTTAACATGCCATAGAAATGTCCCCATTCTGGAAGCTCACTTCATCCTTGGACTTCTCACACCAGAAACACTCTTTGCCCTGTCATCTACTTGGCTAGTTCCTCCCAGAACCTGCATTTTAAGGAAAATGCCCAGGCCAGCCATGTCTTTATTACTCTCCAGGCTGCACCCCAGACCTGGACTTTCTGTACTCTCTACCCTCCCTCCTCCCTTTTAGTCTTTTCATAAGTTTTCTCCCATTAGAATGTAAGCTCCTTGAGGGCAGGGACTGTTTTTCTGCTGGTTTTAGTGCTTAACTGTTTTCAGAGAGGACCAATGACATCACAGGGTGATGATTAGACTTGCATGAGAATTGGATTTAAGTGAGGTAGAGTTACACAAACACTCTCTCTTCTAGAGTCATGGAAGGCCAGTAGCAAGACAAGTCAAAATTCCTGGCAATGGTGTGGCTGCAGATAGTCCTCCCTTGAAAACCCCATATACTCCAAGTGCTTAATAAAGGCTTATTGATTTGCCTTGAAAAATAAGGAGTCACATCAAACAGGGTTTTAGACATCAGACTGTTGGATTTATATTTTATCCCTGGGACAATTTGAAGCTACCAAATGCTTTGGAGCAGGGGAGTGATATGATCAGGCGTGTTTCAGGAATATTATCTTGCCATCTGGATAGGTAGAGACTGGAAGCAGGGAATCAGATTAGGAGGCTACTTTAACAGTTCAGGCCCAAATCACTTTTCACCTCGACTTACATAGCAGCCTTGGAAGTGGGACAGTATGGAAAAGAATGGACAATGGTACACTTGGCATCAGGAAGTTCATATCCAAGCCCAGAAACTTACTAGTTAAGTGATCCTGGGCAAGTCATTTAACCCGTTTGCCTCCATTTCCTTATCTGTAAAAGGGGGATGATAATAATAGACCCTACTTCTCAGGGTTGTTGCAAGGATCAAACGAAATAATGTATTTTGTAAAGCACTTTGCAAAAAGAACTCTATAAATACAGGCTATTATGATTACAGAGTCAAGAGAAGAATGTGGCAAATATAGGGGTAGATTTGACAAGACTTGGTAATAGATTAGAGAAGAGAGAGAACTACAGGACTCTGAAATTATGGACTGGATGAAATTGGATTAGGGAAGGATGATGGTGCCCACATCCAGGGGGACAAAGATAATCAGAATGATCTGTGAGGATCAGCTAGACTCACTTCACTGAGGAGCAAACGCTCGGGCACCTGTCTAGATGCTGGGGAGGCCTGGGGTGGTCACCATCCACCAAATCTCCTTGAGTGAACCACCAGGACTGGCTGGGTGGATGCTATTTTCCAATGTCTTCCTTCCTACGGCCCAGTCCAACTTAGGGAAAAAAGTGTTGAACCAGCTAGTTTGTCTCAAGCATGGAGCTGAGCCAGGGGGCCCGAGAGGCTGGCAGCAAAACAAACACTGAGTTGACAAATCAAGTCCCAAGCAGAGGAACCAGAGGGTGGAAGAGGTGCCAAGCCTTTCACAGCTGCTGGGCCCATGCAAGCCATGTAGCTAATGGGGCTGAATCTGAGTCTGTAGATGAGAGCCCAGAGTGCCCTGCTGTTGGTGGGAGGAAATGGGATTAGGGAGTTGGAAGGGCAGGGCATATAACTTCGAAGGCTTCATCCTAATGCAGTTCCTAAGAGGCCAGGAAAGGGAAGTAACCCTTCGGGCCTCCCATTTAGAGCCCAGAACTTAAAAACAGGGATTCTGTGAGGATCAAATGTGGTAATGCCCATGTAGCACCCTGCAAACCTTAAAGCACAATACAAATATCACTATTGTTATTACAGAGTGGGCTAATGGAGCCAATGGGAGTTACAGAAATGAGAGTCGATATTAACTTTAAATATTATTTATTTGGCTGAAAAACCACGAACCGGTTGGGTTGATGAGCTCTCTGGCTGTGGGTGTCTAGGAACCCTCAATACTGGCTGAATTAGCTTAGGGGGCAGGGAGGGGTGACGATGACACACCCTTTCCTTCCCATTCCATCCAGTTCTTGAAAGATTCAAGGGGTAAGGGACAACTGGAAAACAAGGAGCAGATTGTGGGAAAAGCCCAATGTTTAAACCCTGGCTCAGGTTCAGGGTAGGTCAAGGCTCCTTCCTTAGCTTCTCCTCAGTGCCCCATTAGAGCTGGGAAGAAGTCCAAAGTAGCCAGAAAGCTAAAGATCCTATCTGGCCCTCATCCATTACCCCAATAATCTTTGAGTAGAGAGGGACTCAGAGGTAGCTATTGAGAAGGGGAACTGCTGCTCCCCTGTCATCACCAGGCTCTCCCCAAACCTGCACCTGCTCCAGGGATAGCCCAACCCCGAATGGTCCTAGGCTGCCCTTGAAAAAAAATGAAATCCTGGCCTGTAGCTTGTCCAGTCTTCAGGGGCCCCTCAAGGGCCAACGGCTCAATTGTGACTGATCAAAGGCTCTCATCAGTCAAGGTGCTACAAGTCCCAGAGCTACACCTGGAGGCTCAGTAAACTGAGGCCCAGCACTGTGTGTCTACCAAGCTGTGGAAGGGGGCTCCTGGTGTATAGGCCCCTCAGCCCTGATAGACCACATCTGCATTTTCTTCTCTGTGTGATAATCTGGGCTGTGATCTCTCCCAGGGTAGGGACCCTCATATTTTCCTTGCTGGGCTCTCTCCACAGAGCCCAATCTAGGGTCCTGGATGAGCACTGAGCATGCTCCAAGATTTGGCTAGGTGGAGAGGCACCTCTAGCTAACTCTTGCTTACGTCCAGGACTTCTCCAGATCAGATATGTGACCCCAAAGAAGCCTGTGAACATGGGAGAAGCAGGAGAGAAAGGGTCCAATAGGCTCCACAGGACTGCTGGTGTCTGACGAGGGCACAGGGGTTTCTCCTTGGCAGAAGCAGTCAAGTCCATTTTCTCTGCTCCCCACAGATGAGATCAGGTCATGCTGAGGACGGGTTTGCTTCCAAAATCAGACACTTCCTGGGTTACAGTGGCTTCTTCAGGGGACACCAGGTAGTGTCAGGATACAGAAGGCAATGGATGGATTTAAACCTGAAGAGAGGAGACAGGAGATGATTAGGGCTCTGTGGGACCAAAGTTGTTCCAGATCACTTTCACTAGGAACCCACTCCTACACACACACACACACACACACACACACACACACACTCTCTCTCTCTCTCTCTCTCACCTTGTGGGGTCCTGCTGCAGGCTGAAGGCACCACCCACGCTCACCACGTTCCGACGATTCTCTGGGCCTCCGTAGCTCAGGGTGATCTGAGAGAGGGAGAGGACAGAGGGTCGAGAGCCTGTGCTTGACTGGGCAATGACCAGCAGGAAAGAGCCTGAGGGGCTGTGTTCCTGCTTTTTCTTTAAGATTGGACTACAATAAGAGAGTCAGAGATGTATTTGTGGGCGAGGGGAATAAAGGAAAGGCACAACTAGGAATCAGAAGGCCTGTATTTAAGTCCTAGTTCCATAGTTTACTACGTGACTGATTGTGTCACCTCTCTAAGGCTCAAATTTCTCACTTGTAAAAGGAGGTAACAATATGTGCACTTGCCTTCCCAAAAGACAAGTATGGTCATTAATGAACATTTTTGTTCAAGTTACGATCAGCATAATAAAGACAGCCTCCACTCAAGCATAAGAATTTGGGTTAAATGCATCAATCTAGAGCCTCCTAGGTAAAACACTGCTTTTTTTTTTTAAATCTGGTGTTTTCATTATTTTGTACACAATGGCGATTGAAGAGAGGCAGCGTGGTATAGTGAATAGAAAACCAACCTCAGAGCTATGAAGACCTGATTCAAGTCCTGTCTCTGACACACAGTGGCTTGTGTGACTCTGGGCAAGTCACTTAACCTCTCAGGGCTGGATTGTAGACGAGGGTCCCTCACAACAATGACATCACAGGTCTGGTCCCTAGCCCTATATGTGAAAAGGAGGAGTATTTGCAACAAGCAGGACGCTTGTGGGCCCTGAGTGTGTCAACAGGGCTCCCTTTCCTTCAGAGACCATATTGATCAATTTGATTATTTTAGACAAGCTCTGGAAAGTGCATGTTAGAATTTGCTGATATATAAAGGTGCTAGTACCTTCCTTCCTCTAATCACTTTACTATGGTTACAAAACAAAAATTTTGAACAGTCCCTGGAACTCACCCATTTTTCATTATTCTCTATTTCACCCCATAAAGACAGGAGCTTAACAAACGTTAATTAACTGGCTGATAAAGAAGATACAGTCTTCTTCCTTCTAGTGTAAATGGCTATGCTAAGACCTTTGTAACAGTTTAAGCATTCTTTTTCTTTTGCTAAAAATGTCATATCCCAAACTGTGAGGGAGGCCAGCCTTACTTGATTTACCTAATCTTACCCAAATTCTGGGTCATGTAGCTCAGGAGGAGAAATCATACATACACAAATGTTTGTGGGTGTGTCATACTCTTGAGTGGAAAAACTGTAACCTATGCTGGCTTATTAGTGCAGTGGCTAACAAGGGCCCCAAAAATTCTTATAACAACATTGTTTAGAAATTATTTGTTTTTTGTGAAAGCCATGGTAATGATGGCAATAACGGCAGGTAACATAAGATTACAACTGATTTATCAATAATTATCAGTAAAGCTGAAAGATGCTATTTCTGGGCATATGCCCGAAACAAGTCAATGGCAGAAAGGTCCCATGTGCATCAAAATATGTATAGTAGCACTTTTTGGAGTTGTATTAAAAAAAAAAAAAAGAAAGAAAACAAGTTAAAGCAGTGGCTGAATGACAGTATAAGAACTTAATGGAATTATTTTTTAGAACTATTGATACTGAAGGACTTGTGTTTGGAGATGGTAAAGCAAACCCCTGGGTGGTCTCCTGGGCCTCCTGCCCCATGACAGTAGCAGGGAGGCAGGGTGTTGCATTAGTAAAAAAGGGAAGTAACTTCTGTTCTCTTGATCTCCTCCCTCCTCTCTCTCAAATGTACCGTCCACAAGACTCCTTGTTTGGGAAGTGCTGCCAGGCCACATGGTAACCACTAGCACATGGCCGGCCTCAGGCCTCTGGCTGTCTCTTCAGTTTTAGTTCCTTCCTGGGCACAGCTGACCCCGAAAGCCTTGATGGGAACCTTCCGAGTTTGAATGGTTGGGAACTCCAGAGTCCTCATTTTAGGAGGAGTCCCAAGAAACTATTACAGCACTTCTTGAAAGCGATCACTATTAACAAGCTTACCAGAATACACAGACCTAGAGGGAATGGTTTAGACAGTGCAGAGCCAAGGGAGAGGGGCTAAGGAGCTTCAGCAACCCTACAAAAGCTTCATGCATTGAGGTTGTGAATTTCAACTTCCTGAGGAAGTAAAATAGTAGTTCTAAGTTACCACTGTTTAAGCTCTCCTGGCAACATGTCCCTGTGAGTCTGGCTTTAAGAAACAAACAAATATTTCTTCTGTTGGAAAAAAATAAACAGGTGTCCTACTGTACTTACATAGCATAGTGAATATTCTCTATTTTCTTTTAGGGAGACCCTACACATAAAACCAAACCTAAGCTTTAAGTGATTCTCCCTGGGGCTATAAAGAGCCAGAGTTTGACACAAAAGAGATGGTGGCCCTTCTGTTTGGAGACCAAGGTCTTCCAGGACCAGACCCAGTGCTGTACTGCTTTACCAGGAAGGATTTAACACCCAAAGGAAATGCCAGAGGTACACAGAGGGCAACAATCAAAGAAGAGAGAGAAGGAAGACAGAATAGAAGCAGGACAAAAATGGCAAATGCCAGCTCTAAGAGTGTAGAAATCTGTTTTATCCCCAGCACCTTGAATGCTGTCTTATACATTTTAGGTGCTTAATAAATGCTTGTTGGAACAGCATGATTATGCAATCATAAAGTCTTGTTCTGATTTCTCATCGGGGCATGGAGGTGGCTCTGGTCTGTGGCCCCATGAAGCTGAGAAGGCCTGCAGATCTGCCCCAGGAGGGTCATTTTGGCTAACTGATAAACAAGAAATGAATTATTCTCATACTGACTCCTGGAGTTTTTATATGTATTGGTGGAGGGTGTAGCCACATTGAAGGGTAAATGGTAAAATGCGCTCTCATGTCACTGAATAAGAATGCAGGATTTTACTATGCGTCCCCTTTGACCCAAAGATGCTGTTACTACATTTGTTCCTATACATTTTTAAGCAGTCAATGAGAGTAGGGGCAAAAGTTATATTGATAACTAAAATAAGAAGGAAAAAATAAATCATTAAAAATTACACAAAAGAGAGCAGAAAGAAGTTCAGACAGGGACAGAGACAAGTAAGCAGTGTTAGAACTACTATATTAAATTTTAAATATTTTTCTAGAAAGCTCAAATTAAGCTGTACATGGTAAAGATTAATGGTTTCAAATGCTTTTTCTGTTTTTATGTAGGAAAGTTCATTTTTGTTGACATCTGTCAAGTTCATGATAATAAAACAAAAGTTTATAACAAAAAAAGATGAGGTATTGATGTTGAAAAGTTGATGTGAACACATTTGTGTGTTTAAGACAGTTAATCTGTATGAAAGGTCCCAAGGGATAGATAAGAGGTGGCTAGAAATTAGAATTACTAAAGAGGGACCAATTAACCAATACAAAGACTTTTGAACTAAAAACAGTTAGTTCTCATCCTTGAGATCAGGGGTCATGTTTAAATCTGACTAGAGCAGGGGTGGGGAATCTGTGGCCCAGAGCCACCTGTGGCCCTCTAGGTCCTCGAGTATGGCCCTTTGACTGAATCCAAACTTCACAGAACAAATTCCCTTAATAAAAGGATTTGTTCTGTAAAATTCAAAAAAGGCCACATGTGGCTTGGAGGCAGCTGGTGCCCCACTCCTGGCCTAGAATAACCCAGCACCAAGCATTGAGTATTTTGCACACAGTAAAATGATATAGGATATAAGGCCTTCCAGCAAAATTGTAACACTATTATATATATAAGTTCTGCTACCAGAGACACAGCCAGCTAGGTGACACAGTGGATAAAGAACTGGGCCTGGAGTCAAAAAAAAAAACCAGAGTTCAAATCTGAGCTCAGAATTACCAGCTGTGTGACTCTGGGCAAGTGATTTAACCCTTGCCTGCATAAAAGTGGAGAAGGAAATGGCAGCAAACCATTCTAGTACCTTTGCCAAGAAAATCCCACAAATAGTTGGTCTACGGGGTCATGACCTGGTTCACCCCGATAGTGACAGTCTGTGGACATGAAGGATAAGTATACAGGACAATGTGTGAGTTTGGTACAGTAGATAAAGCTTCATAAATATTTTTTTCCAAAACTGGAATTCTGTAGCTAATGATTAACAACTATTTTCTTACCTTCCTTCAATCTCAAATCACAGAGAGAACATGGATTACCACAGCATTGTTAGTTTCTCAAAACACTGTTCTAACTGTAAAATGCTCAATCTACATTTAAGCTACTTGATATGGGAGAAAAGACACTGGAATTTGGGTCAGGAGCTTAATTTTGGTCTTTGCTATCTAAGAGCAGAGATCTTAGAGAAGTTACTGATATAGCTTCTGGCATACAGTAAGTGCTTAAATATTTAAATATTTGTTGACTAAAACTCCCTGGGTCTCAATTTTATCATTTGTAACCAAAAAAAAAAAAAACAAAAAAAATCAAAAGGAGGATGGACTAGATAACTTACGTGGTCCTTCCCATCTCCAACATTTAATGATTCTATGAGTCAAGAAACCTAGGTTTGAATCCTGGCTCTGTCATCAACTCACCTCCTCATCTGTAAAAGGAAGTTGCACTAGACGCACAGGCATGTTTAGTACATTTTGTTACAGTGGAGACCCATGATATTTAAATTTTTTAAGCAAATATTTATGGAATACTGACTCATAAAGACATAATTTTTATTTAGCAAACTAAAGAAACTAAACTTAATTTTTAAAATTAGAACTTTACTTTAAAAAATACGCTTTAAAAATGAAATTTTCTTTTTCTGAGACATCAGCTCAGTTAACCATATACTCACTCCTATCAATAGATGATCTGAAGACCCTTTTTGGCACTAAGAGTATGATTCTTACTGTACAGGCCGCTTAGGGATCAGGTAGCCACACAGACCACTGCTGCCCCCTAGTGAAAGGTTTGAGCAGCTACTGATCTCTTCCTTTTCCCTTAAAGACCTTAACAGAGCTCCTTCACACTCTAAAACCTACCTATCCTTGAAACAAAGTATCAGGCTTTGCATATCCTTCTAGATCTGTTACCTTCTTTTGGGCACACCATCCATTGACATAGCT